CGGTCTGCAGACCGGGGGTTGGGGATCACTGCTGTAAAGCACTAGTTGTGTCTGTGTGTCTGTGTGTATGAGATGTATGTATGTATGTATGTATGTATGTATGTATGTATGTATGTATGTATGTATCAGTGGTGGGTTGCAGGCAGTATGCCCCGGTACCATTTCGGTACGGTGCTCCTGAGAGCCCACCCGCCCGCCCACGCTCCTTACCTGTCTTTAAAGTCTTCGGCGCTTCCTCGCACGGCATGTACAGCACTTGTGTGACGCTCCGCCAAGCAGCTGGAGCATCGCAGAGGCTCATGGAGGCATCGCTAGAGAGTAAGACGCATGTGGCACTGCACACATTCATGTGGAGGATGCTGGGTCCTGTTGCAACCGTACAATCCGGAACCCACCACTGGTATGTATATATGTATATATGTATGTATGTATAAAAATCTAAGTGCTATTGCAAGGTTTCAAAGAGAGATCTTTCAGTCAATCTTCCAGAATCTGAACTTGAACTCATTGGCAAGCTATTTTTTTTAAAAAAATAAAGATCTTTGGGATGCTTGAAATACCAAGGCAAACCACCCTGATTTCCCCCCCACTGCATTATCATCAACAGATATCAGAAACTATGAGAATAGTGTTGTGTGTTTTTTCAGTGAACTATTTTGGAGTTCTACTGTGACTTGGCATTTCAGCTAGGTGATTATTGAAGGAAATAATATAAGAAAATTTCCTTTCACCTTAACCAGACTGAATATAACACCTTCAGCTTTCTAGGTAGTCTGAATTTTGGGCTCTGAATTCTCAATTGTTTCTTAGTCTGTCTCCTAGTTTGTCATATAACAAGCACTTGCTCTGAAATCCTGATTACTGACACATCCCACAAACCATGGCTCCTGATTAACTGTAGGTGTCTGCCCTGGTCAAGGTCTGAGAAGACTGTTGATTTGTGCTTCAACACTAGCACTAAAAGGTGGCTGAAAAGTGACATTGCTGCTGTTAGCTAATATGAAGTAGTCTCAAGGGGACAATCTGCTTCTGTGAAGCTTCTCATATATCTACCGGTACTGATCTAAGAAATAAAGAACAGATTCTAAACCTGTGAGTTAAGAACATATTCCAAAATTGAATTGGCTAACCAGCTGGCTTAACCAGCAGAATGATTAATCAGTAGCAGCTAATCTGAAAGGACCTATATCTGTTTGATCTGATCATATTATCATTTACACAATACCTGAGAATAGTCTTTGCTTCTGACAGAAGCCTGGAGTCAAAATAGAATCATTTTAAAATAGAGGATTGCCATCTACTGGCCGTATAGACAAAATACATGGCAAGAGGAAACTACAGTAAGCACTGTGTTAGATAATGGAGTCAATTTTCCAATTTAACCAAACTGTAATGATGATGATGTTATCCATTCAGTTGTGTCTGGCTTGGGAATTCTATGGGCCAGGTCTCTCCACATCTTCCAATCTTGTACTTCTGGAATTTTTCTATGCTCTGTCTGGTGTCATCTTTGATGATGTCCAGCCACTGTATTCTTTGGTGGCCTAATTTCCTTTTACCGCTAACTGCAATCTAACATTTGCTTTTAACTCAGTCACATTTAAAAGAACAAGAAATAACTTTTCAGCCAATGGTGACACAGGATCTTAAAAAATCCTCCAGTTGCAGTTTGTTGCATTGATATTTGGTCTCTATTTTTAGTTACAATAAATAGTAACGCCTAATATATATTTCTAGATATGCAAATATGTTTTGGATAGAAGTATTAAATATGGATATTCAAAATGTTTTAGTTCTGCTTAAGATAATAAGTATACTTTTATATATGATCTAATGTTGCCATTTTTTTAAAAAAAATGCAGTTTTTTATTTGATTTAGTGTTGTGTTCTTCTTTTATTATTTGCTAAACTTATATCCCACTTCTGTTCCAAAACCTTAAGGTGACATATACAACACTCCCTTTTTCACCCTCTGGCCTTCATTCTAACAGCCTTTCAGGAGATAAATAAAATGGCTTTTCTGGAAGGCCTTTGGAGACTGCAGCTGGGGGTAAATAACTATAATGATAAATATTTTATTTTGTAATGAGAATTGAGCTAGTAGATAAACTGCATTAAAAACAAACCAACTTCTGGGTTTTCCTCACAACCACCACCCTGAGGTAGGATGTGCTGAGAGAGAACAGCTGGCACCAAACTCACACAGTAACCTTGTATGGCTGAGAGTGGGGTACCATAGATTTTTAAAATTAATGTCTCACTCTGTCAGGAATTCATCATTTTGCACATAAATGTCAGGATCACAATTGTGGTCTTCGTAAATGAGATGGTTGAGAATGATAGGCACTGTAGTTCAAGTCGTCTGAAGAAACACAAGCAACTGTATTCCCAACCTTGGATTTTTTTTATTTAACCGAAGGGGAAAGTTGGATGAGCTGTAGTAGCTGACAGTAAGATCTAATTCTCTTTTCACTGTTACAGGAAAAGGGTTAGAATTTCTCAGGGTAAATAAGAAGGCTGGAAGATTTCTGCAGGTAGAGAAGCTCTGCCCTCAAATTATAAATTTATAATAGTAATAATTCAATAATCACCATTATAAACCATATAAATTCAGACTGCATCTCAAAAAAGACTATGCTATTCTAAAAAAAAGTATATGATACTGTATGAGGTTAATAAGAAAACAAACAAGCACCTTCCATTTTCTTCTTCCTTGAAGATTAGGAAAGATAGAGCAGTTTAATTCTCTGTGCAATGTTATTTCCTCTCCAATAGATGGCAGTAGTGACTTCTCTTGCTTTACTTTCTTGGTGCCAAAAAACCCTTTAAGCCAGTGTTCTCTTGAGAGTTTTGATTTCAATTTTAGAATTACAGTTTTAGAAGGTACCTCAAAAAACATCCTGTCAGCGTATGAAATACTCTGCTAGGTAAAAGTTATGGCGCCTGATGTAAAGCTGTATTTTAAACTTTCGTGCAGTTGTTGGTACAGTGTAGCATATGGCATCTTGACAGCAGGATGCAAGTTCGGTAAAAGGTTCTGCAGACTCTCAGGTATATTATTGTACCCAAAACCTTAAATATGCCTAAATAAAAAACAAAATTGGTGCTCAGGAAAATGAGCAAAGCCCTTGAGAAGAGTTTTTGACATGAAATACTGTTTTAAAACTGCTATTTTATCCAACTTTGCTTTTAAAAACAAAACAGTAAAATCAATGTAAGCTATTTG